GCAGGGCTTCAGAGCCAAGCAGGTGGCAGCAAGTCCTGCTGAGTCTCTGTCCCCCAGGCGGGGCAGGCCTGTCCACCCAGGCCTAGCGGCTCATCGGTGAGATGGTGATAAGCACACGGGCTCCCTGTGGCTGCAAAGGTGGGTGAGGGGGAGTCTTGTAGGGCCCCTGCCGAACCTGCCCACCTGGGATGGACCCAGCATCCTAGGCATGAGAGGGAACAGGCTCTCTCATCAGTATCTGCCACGCTAAGATTTTGCACACTAACATTTGTTCTGGAAGAATGTATAAAAATGATAATTTATAATAACTAAGGGCAGGAGCCAGCAATCCCTTCGAAGTTCAGATTCTGTAAGGATCTGATGAAAACCCTAGGCAAAGATGGGGGTGGTGAGGGAGGGCGGGAGAGGAAAGGGAGGGAGAATATGAAATAGGACTCAATGCTGAGTGGGAAGGAGAGCTAGGTGGTGACTGCCAGGGCCCGTCAGTCATGTTCCTAGAATCTGTTTTGGTTTGAACTTTCCGTGTATTTCAACTTATTATTTACGGACCTCCATGTATATGCGAAGTCCTAGAGGAAGAGCTATTGAGCCTATGATTTTTAATGGCACTTTCGGCATTTGGAATGGATATAGGCCTGGGAGCCTTGGACTTTGGGTCATCTGTGCAGTCATCCATTTATTTCTAAGTCACTCCCTGAACATTTCTCTGTGCTAGCCCCCAAGCGGGGGTGGCAGGGCAGGTGGGGTCATGGAGTCCCTTGAGAGGTTAGAATAATGAAAAGGGGCCAGATCCAGGAAACTGTCAGAGCTCAAAAGTGTCCCCAGGACCACGATGGGTGGTTTTCTAGTGTCAGGAGGGCCCAAGGAGGTGGCAGAGCATAAACTAGGTCTAAACTGACAAGCAGGTATGAACCACACAGATAGTGCATGTGTGTAAGGTGGGGAGGAGGTATCGAGAGAGCCCAGGGGTTCTGAAGTGGGCAGTTGCGAGGGTCAAGTTGGAGAGCGGTCTGACACGAGGAGGGGCCATGAGTGGAGGCTCTAGGGGCAGCCTGGGCTGGCTGTGGAAGGCAGGGTGAGCAGCTGGCCCAGTGTGGGTTTGGGCTGCCCACAGAAAAGAGAGTGATGGCAGGCAGGGTGGACCAAGGCTGGACCACAGGACTGGGATGAAAAGCCATGGATTGTCTGGCAGGTTCTAAGTGTCTGTGTCACATGCAGTCCTTCTGTGTGCAAAGCTACAGCAGCGATTTCCCAGGCACAGCTCCCATGGAGGGAGGGCTGCAGAATATTCCATTTGGTACACACGGACAGCAGGCCCACATGTACCCTAAAGCCCCCCTCAGGTTGGCCTTTGTGGCTCTGCAGTCTGCAGCCTGGCTGTGGCTTCAGTACTTGGGAACCCCGGGGTAGGTCATCCCCCTGAGCCTCCAGTATTTCATCTGCAAAACAGGTAAGGAAATGCTTGTGAGACCAGGCGATGGAGGATGGCCTATGCAAGAACCACCACAGGGCTGGGCACATAGGTGCTGCTGCTGTCGTTGTTACATTATCAAAAGCAAAACAGCAGCTGTCTGCAAGGGAGACTTGGGGGATTACCAGCACCTGCAGGCTAGGTTTGCACTGATAAAGTCAGTTAATAACAGCCACAGATACCACTACTGCTGGGCATGGTGCCAAATCTTTATTCTCTTGTTCATCATGTGATTCCTGTAAAGTAGCTGTTATTCCCACGTACAGATGAGAAAACTGAGGCATTGTGTACCTCCCCAAAACCAGTGCGTATTGGAGGTGAGATCAGACCCAGAGCTGACTCCATAACACATGCGGGACTCTGGTCCCTGCTCTGCCCTGAGCGTGGCCATGAGAGGGAGGGAGGGTCAAATTTCTGGGGCATGTTTCCTGATAGGGGACAGGGACCTGACAGGAAATGGGCAAAGGCCCTAAGGAGGTGCTTCCAGAAAAAGAAACACACTATCTTCTGGAGGTCTGAAAACCTGCACAGCCTGGCTTGTAACTACAGAGACCATTCAAAAGTTACAACGTGTTTTACTCATCAGATTGGCCAAGATAAAAACCACACCACTCCCACCCCCACACAGAGAGGAGGTGGGGAAATGGCAACTTTCATTAGCCACTGGTGTTAGAAATCGGGTGACCTTTTGGAGGACAATTTTTCAGTATTTATTAACATTTTAAATGTATACACTCTGTCCCAGAAATTAAATTCGGGGGTGGGGGAATTTATCCTAAAAATATGCAATCCATGCATGTGAAAACTCTACTTACAAGGGCTGTCATGGCAGCACTGTGTCTGGTTAGAAAAAAATCAAATAAAGACTGTATAAATGTCCATTTGAGGAGGCATTGGTTAAATAAAAGAACCAATTCATTCATATATTCATATAATCCATACTGTGCAGCCCTGAGAATGGGGAGTTACTGTATATATGGTGATAGGGTATAATCTTTAAGATATATTTTCAAGAAAAAAACAAGAAGTAGAATACATAAAATATGTTTCATTTTGTAAAATAAGCAGTTGTATATGCATGCAATACTTCTAGAAGGGTTCTCATAAACCAATAAAGTAACAGCCCTTGACATGGGCAGAAGGTGTCTTCCTCTTTCCTATGATTAAGTTTTCATTCATTGCTAAAATTTGTTTTTAGCTTGTGTTTGTTGGGCCCATTGTGTTCACTCAGTCTCTAAGAAGGTGTTTGGTTGGGGCCCCCCTCAAAAGGCCATCTGCCACCCAAAGAGGCAAACAGACTTGACTTTCCACCCTCTCCCCCACCCCCACCCTAGCTGGTGAGGGGCCTCTTCCTACACGTCGTAGATGGGCTGATGTGCTCCCACTGCAAACACAGGATGTTCATAGGTCTCTTACCAGGGTGTGCTGCAAGTTCCCAGAAATAACTGCCCAGCCCTGGCGCCCTTGGAAAAGCCCAAATGCTATGATTCCCTACTCCATCAATATCTGGAGAGGTTGAGCAATGGCTGAGATGGAATTTCATTTGGCACTTGATGCAATCCTTCCTGCTCTGTCAAAGGTGGCAAATTCTATAGAAAGCTGCCAAACCTGGCCATCTCCTCACTGAGCATTGACCTCTTCTATCCAAGAGCAAGGCAACGGATTTCTGCATGACTCATTTGCAAAAACTGTGGCATTAGGGCTTATGGGAGTTGGCTGGGCCCAGCTGGGTAGGGCAGGCCTGGCCTACAGGGAATGGCCTCTCCATTCTACCCTCTGGTTCTGAGGAACAGCTATGTAAACTGACACATCCTGCCTGAGTTAGCAGCAAGAAATAGGCCCCATGGTTCTCCCACAGCAGAGGTCCTGCCATAAATCAAGTCCTAAGGGTAATCTGGAATGGTATGCAAATAAGGGCTGCATCCCTATTAGTTCTGGAAAGGCAGTGCTTGCAGTCATTGGTCAAGGTCTGAAACTTGAATCCTAGAGAACTGCTGGGAGTAGGGGGCAGTGGCAAGACTGGGACTGGCAAGTGGGCCTCTCCAGATTGGGAATGGCTGCAGGCCTGCCTTTCCTCAGTGCCTGAACTGGAGTGATAACAGTGGCTCTGTTCTCTCAACCCTGGCCCTACACATACACCACACAGGAGCTCACTAGTGTCTTAACTCACACACACTCACAGACACACACATGTAAACACACTAACACATATGAGCTCACAGATCCACAGTCTCATGGAAAACGAATCAAGATGCCTAACATTTTATGTGTCCATGTCTGTGCTGAACCATTTGTACACACTTAATGCTCACAACCAAAGAGGAACATCCTATTGTTCCCAGTTTGTGGATGATAAAACTGCAGCTAAGAGAGGTTGCCTCAGGTCCTTGGCTAGTAAGTGGCACACATGATTCCAGTGCAGGCAGTGAGGTCCTCACTCTGTGACTCCAGCCTGTGCATACCCAGACCTGGCTGAGCCAAGTGCACACAGTACACAGACAGAGACCTCGCCATGCTCATCCACGCTCCAGCTCACCCCCAAGCCCTCACAACCACCTAGATTTTAAAACAAGTGGTAGTCTCAGATACCCATATCATTACCACATTAATTACTTCGCATTACATTATAGACTTACACTTCTCCTCTCTCCCGGTTTCTAATGACTTTGCCTAGAGTGGGGGTAAGAGGGATATACATTCACTCTTTTTTTAAAGTAAAAGTTTAGTTTTTGATTGCAAAGCCCAACAGCAGATAAAGGATGGTGGGGGGAGGGCAGCAATGTTTCTGAACATCCTCCCAACGAATTTCTCATGGTGTAGGATTTCCTGTCAGCAACAAAACAACAAAATCTTTGAAAAAAAAAAGGAAACAGGCCTTGAGGAATTACAAACCCCCAATGGTGAAGACAAGTGCCCCCTTCACCATCGGTGTGTCCTGTTCCACCCCAGACAGGAACCTGAGAGCAGGTACAGGGATGGTGGGTCTATTCCAGGAGTCGATTCCGAATGCGCCCCCATGTTCCCTGCCTGGGCGGCCTGGAAACAGTTTGTGAAGTTCTTTCTGGGCTGCTTAACGCTCTGCTTCTCCTCCTAGTAGGTCCTTCATTTATTCTCTTAGGGGAAAGTTTTTGCCACAGATACTTCCCGACCAGTACGCAAAGAAACGGCGAGGAGACGCGAGGGCAGGGTGCCTTGAGGCCTCTCAGGCACATCCTGCGTTCCAGGGTCGGGAGTAGGGCGGGGAGCCCCGCGCGCCAGGGTCCCAGACGCAGAGCCCCGCGCGCCAGGGTCAGAGGGGGCGCTCAGAGTCCCTCCGGGCGCCAGAAGGGGACCCCGCCCAACCGAGGCGCCGCAAACCCTGGGACCGCACTGGTGTCCTGACCTGAGCCTGGCGGGCACCTCGTCCACAGAGGCTGGGCACGGCCACAGCCCCGTGTCCTTGGCCTCGGCTCGGCCCCTGCACCCCTGTCCGTCCGGGCCTGGAGTTGGTCCCGGGCCCCGCGGACCTCTCCCCGCGGCGGGTACTCACGTTGGGTGGTTGGCGACGTTGCGTTGGGGCTGCTCATCGCCAACGGTGCCGACTGGGGCCGAGCAAGGGCGGAGGGGCAGGCGGAGCGGTGCGAGGGTCACACGGGCCTGCTCCTGACCCTCACCGGCGGGAGGAAGCGGCCCCTGGGTCACACTCCTCTGCGCGGGCCTAGGGGAGGGGCTCCGGCCCCAGATAGGCAGACTTCATTTAGTTTTTTCTGCAGACTTGGCTGGTGGTGGTGGTGGCGGGGGTTCCACCCTTTTTTTTTTTTTTTCTAAACGCACCCGCCCACATCTGAACTCTTCCGTGCTCCAACTTTCCTGCGCAAGAATCACATTTTTCTGTGTTTCTGTGTCCGCCTGCAGTTACCAGATGCAGAGGTTGTAGTTGAAAATTCCCCTGTGTATAGACTGAAAAACTCCCAGATGTGACATGAAGGCCTACGCAGGCAGTGTCTGGGACTGTGACCAAGTAGGGACAGACCTGTGTTTGAATCTTGGCTGGCTGCTCTGCCACTCAAGTGGTGTGGCCTCTCAGAGTTCAGGGCATTTGTGGCCTGGGAAGAGTTCCTCCCTTGCTGGCCCCTCAGGGGCGCTGTCCCAATTCATGGGCTAATGTTTGGGAAAGATTCTTAGAAAAAAGGATTGCTGGACAAAGGCCATGCAATTTATTTGGATCACTTTTGTCTGAAGCTTCCAGACATAGTGGAGTTTATGGAGAATTCACTTTACTTAGACAACTAAACAGTGGACTTTTATTTTGACACCCTGGTTGGTTAAATGAAGTCTACTCACATCCCCCACAAAGAATGTTGTGTTAAATGTAGCATTATAACCCCCACCCCCAGAAAGGCAGGGAGCTCAGTGCAGGTCACCCTTGTATTAAATTGCAGCCCCAGAAGACACCCTTTACTTGTCAAATCTGATGACTGATTCTCCCTGTGGGGCTTTCCATTGTGGTTTACCTGACTGTCCTCAATGCATTGCCTGACCTCCCAACCCCCTTCCTTTCTCCCAATAAGACTGCTTTGTTGCAATCCCAGGGCACCATGGTAGCTGTCTGCACAAGATATGTACAGATGGAAGTACCATCCACACTGAACAACAGAGTAGGAGGCTGCCCCCTGGAGGTGTGCGATGCAGACGCCCTGCCCAGCTCCACCTAGGCTGGACCAATTCCAAACATCATTCATTATTAGGACTGCCAATGTGACACAGTGGTGGAAAAGTGTTCATAATTCTCTTTAGTTCGACGATGAATGACCTCACATTGCTTATGTCTTCAGTAAAACATCCATGTTGCCCATGTACATGTTGATCTCAAGTGAACTGTTTGCACAATGTCTTTAACTAGGTGTGGACACTTTTTTTAAAAAGATTTTTATTGGGGAGTTGGGGGGATGGGAACAGCGCTGGGGAATTGGGGGAAGGGGAACAGACAAGTTGCTGTCCTTTTGTTCTTCAGTCTAGTTGTGGAGGACGTCGCTTCACTGGCCCAAGTTGGCACCATCATTGCGCTTCTCCCGGGCGAGGCAGATCAGTTGCCGGCTTCTGGACGGCTGCTCACTGCGGCTGCTGGCCGCTCACGCTGGCTGCTGGCGACATACAACCCATGGCAACCCACTGCCACAGAGGCTGCAGCCTACGGCGTGACCGGTGACTCACGGCAGCCCAGCTCCAGGTTGAGCTGTTGTTCAGCATCTTAGCTGTAGAGGGCAGTGTCACTGGCCCTCATATGTGGGATCCGAACTGGGGCCCTCTGGCGTCCCAAGCCAGTTCTTATCCATCGCGCTACTCGGCCGTCCCTGTGTGGACACCTTTAAGATTTGATTTCCTCGTCTATAATATGGAGACAAGAACACATTCCAGAGTTTTACAGAGGCAATGTCTCTAAAATAACTGTGGGCAGGAAAACCATTTAATAGAAGCTAGCAGTGATTACTCTAACAGTTTAACGTTTTGTTTTATAATACAATACATATAGGTCTGTATTATAAATACATACACAAATGCATATACATAGGTCTGTAATACATATAGGTCTGTATCCCTTGTGTCAGAGTTCATAAATTAAACAACTTCAGTTATCTGAAATGCAGCTGGGGAGCTGGAAGGAAGCTGAAAGGCCCTCCAGGTGACCAAAGAACAAGTCCCCAGATTGTCACATCTCACTTATAGGAGGACTTCTCAGAGACTCAATTACAGCCCACTGGCCTTTAGACATAATCATAAGGCATTTGCTTATTTAATTTCTAGGGCTAAGACAGGTTAAAAGCACCACAACATAACAAGAATTTTTTTATAGCGAGTAAGCCAAAAAACACATTAACTAACTAAACAGTCAGGGTAGAAAGCTTGAGAAACTATAAAGATCAGATATAAGAGCAAAGTAGTATTTATTATACAACAAAACAGCTGGGCCCTGGCCATGAGAGGAGGGTGTGATGGTACCAGGGCAGTCAAGGAGCCAAGGCATTGGGGTTCTGTCTGGGTTTATATCTTCACTGCCTTCCAGCTGAGTAACTTTCAGCATTTTACTTCACTTCTCTGAGCCTCCATTTTCCCATCTCTGAAATTGGAGCAATCTGCAGTTAGGTTGTTGTGAGTAACACATTGGATAGCTTATAATTAATGGGATAGTACAACCTCTTACCCAGCATATTGGAGTTAATGATAACATGATATCAGTTACCTCCCCCCTCAGGGGCACTCCTGGTTTACAGTAAGAGCCCCAGGCCATTCTGAAAAGAAGGTAAATAATGTTTAATAATGAGTAGTCGTTCAGCTAGTTTAGCTAGCAGAGAAACAATAGATACATTTTAGAAGACTTAATCATGGAAGTGTCTAATTTTAAATAAATGAGGGATATTTTAAGAAGGTAAAATAATTATATGAAAAACTAGATTCTGTTTATCTGATATTAAGTCACAGAGATGTGTTATTAGTGTGCCTATGTGTTGGATATTTATTGATGGAGTAGAAAGAACTCAACTACAAGGTCTGCCAATTAAGTTCCCGAATACATCCTACTAGAAAAAGTGCTACATACCTCACTGCTGAATATCACTATGGTTACCTTTGAAGTACTCCCCTTGGGAAGCTGTGCACTGATGCCAGTGCCTACTCCGCCCTTCAAAGCAATTTTGGAACTCTTTTTCTGGGATGGCCATCAGAACTGTCACATTACCCTTGATGTCCTGAATGTCATCAAAATGTCTTCCTTTCAATATTTCCTTTATCTTCAGGTAAAGAAAGAAGTCATTGGGGGCCAGATCAGGTGAGTAGGGAGGGTGTTCCAATAGAGTTATTTGTTTACTGGCTAAAAACTCCCTCACAGACAGTGCCCTGTGAGCTGGTACATTGTCATGATGCAAGAGCCATGAATTGTTGGAAAAAAGTTCAGGTCGTTTTCATCTAACTTTTTCATGCAGCCTTTTCAGCACTTCCAAATAGTAAACTTGGTTAACTGCTTGTTCAGTTGGTACAAATTCATAATGAATAATCCCTCTGATATCAAAAAAGGTTAGCAACATTGTTTTGACTTGATTTGAACTGATGGAACTTTTTTGCTCGTAGAGAATTGGCTGATTTCCATTGTACACTTGAACGCTTTGTTTAAGGCAGTGGTTCTCAACCTGTGGGTCGCGACCCCTTTGGGGGTCGAACAACCCTTTCACATGGGTCGCCTAAGACCATCGGAAAACAAAAAGATATTTATATTATGATTCATAACAGTAGCAAAATTACAGTGATAGAGTAGCAACGAAAATAATTTTATGGTTGGGGGTCACCACAACATGAGGAACTGTATTAAGGGGTTGCAGCATTAGAAAGGTTGAGAACCGCTGGTTTAAGGGTCATATTGGTACAACCATGTTTCATCACCAGTGATAACGCGGCCCAAAACATTGCCTTGCCTCTCCCAAAGGTCTTGGCAAACTTCAACTCTCCTTTGCTTTTGTTCATCGTTGAGCTCCTTCGAGACCATTTTGGTTTTTTGTTTTTTTAGCTGAGCCATCTTGCCGCCTGTTGGCAGCTCAGCTCGGGCCGGAAATATAACCTGCGACCCTGTTGCTCAGAGCTCGCACTCTTGAGCGAGCTCTAAACCAACTGAGCCACTCGGCCAGCCCTATAAGACTATTTTTGTACATACCATTCTCATGCCAAGATTTTTAGTTAAGATTTTCCTGTTTCTCTTTCAGTGTTTATTAGTTGGTCTGCTATGCTTCTCACAGTCAGCTGATGATTTTGATGCACAATTCTACTAATTTCTGCAATGTTTTTGTCAGTTCTGCTTGTTACTGGACGCCCTGACCTCTCTTCATCAGTGACATGTTCGCTCCCCTCAGAAAAGCATTTCATCCTTTGGTACACTGTTGTTTTCTTCATGGCATTATCCCCATAAGCTTAACTAACATTTCCCTGATTTCACTTCCACTCTTGCCAAGTTTAATAAGAAATTTAATGTTTGTTCATTGCTCTAATTCAAGCTCAGACATTCTCGCGACAGCACACAAAAACACGCAACAACAATAATGAGCACCACTCAGCAAGACACTGCCATACGTCAACACAAGCACAGCTGTGAGACACTGATATACCAAGGTTATGAAACCTCACTGAGCTGTTTGTACAGTGCTGCCAATGTAAGTGCATGGTGGCAAGTTCGCAAACTTCATTGTCAGACCTAGTATGTCTTGTAACAATAAAACACTTATCTCATTTAATTCCCATAAATACCCTCAGAGAAGATATTGTCAAGGGCCCATTTTAAAGGTGAGGAAACTGAGGTTGGGAACAGTGACAAGAACTTGTCCAAGGCAGGGCAGCCAGGATTGGGACTGCGCTCTGGCAGGGTGTGTTTTGCCTATAGGTCACCGCCAATATAAGCTGCTGAGCCCTCCAAGGTGTGAGTGGGTGTGATGGAGTCCTGGAGGGGATCTTTCTCCTCTTTTCCAGCACTGTATAGAGCAGGAGTTGCCCATGGGAGGGGACCTCTGCCCGCCTTTTTCGCCACCCCAAACTAACCCACTCAGTGCTGCCCCTTTCTTGGGAGGCTCGGAGTCACCTGTTACAGTCTCTGTCTCCTGGCTGTGAGTTAGTTCTTATAGACTGAGATGGGCACATTTTACTTGGGTCCTCTAAAATTTCCAATTAAAAGTTTTGACCTTCATCAAAGTAGTTGATGCTTTCTGTGTAAAAAACTTAGGTGGGAGAGAAGGAAAAACCCCAAACCCTAACAACTGCTCATAATCTCTAGTACATTAAGGTATGTTTATTGCTAGTCTGTTTTGTGTATTTTGTACATTTGATTTGTATTACTGAGATTTAACCAAATGTGTGATTTTAAGTGCTGAGTTTTTGCTACTAAACTTTATGTCACAACCGTTTTTCCCAAATAAAAGTATAAAAGCTCTTTAATTTGTTTAATTTGTTTAATTACTAAGTTGTTTCCTTTTCTTTGCTAGC